TTTTCCGTCGTAGTCAATGGCAGAAAGGAAAAAGAGAAGCCAACCACTAGAACAACTTCTACTTCACACTCTAATAGACCTTGGCATCTATTCGTTGGTAAGCGATTTATATACTGTATTAGGCTGGATTAAGTAAACATTATGACGCCCTCTTTATTTTTTTAGACAGCAGACAAGATTGTCTAACCACTGCGTCCGTATAGGTGCCAGTAATTGCAGCTATCTTATGCAAGCACGCGGCTCTGGTGGAATGGTATACCATCTAATCGTAGCATTGTACTATAGATCAACATCAGCATATAAAAACATGCGATCTGGGTATCATATTACTGTAACACTCCAAGTGAAATATTTTCGGCTATTAATAATCATATAGAGAGTCATTAAAAGTAGATACGCTATAGGGAAGACAGTTGATAACACACTTTTATAGCTGTATCCATTTTAACATTTTGCTACATCATGTCATGTGATAGAAATAGAATAAATAGTGGAATAAACATCATGCGATACAAAGCTAGAGGTATAGGCTATAAGTCCTGTAATTTTACTGTCCATAAATACAATAAATAATAGCATTTGAATAGTAAAACACAGGGCTGTAACTCTTGTTCTAAACGAACAGATTCCACAATAAGGAGTAATCCATGACATCAGTAAAGTCGGCTCCGATAGACAAGGTACAGAAGCAAAAGTATAGTATTTTCGTATCAGATATTTTGGTAAAAATTGGTAGAAACTACTGTATACGTACGTTAATTTTACTTATATTTTTTCCCAGTTAAAGTATCTAAACGAAATTAAAGACGCCGTAGTGTTTCATAAGTTTCCGATCTGGACGCTTGGTCTAATCATTTTTGAGCTTCCTGGGAGATTTTAAATGAAAAGCCTAAGGTAAATTCTAGAGAATGGTAATATTAGGAAACGTTCCAGCCTAGTTTTTTGGCAAGAATCTATCACGCGTAACTACTGTAAATATTAGCTCGATCATCGTATACTAGAGAAACTGTTATCCTGTCTGCAGTAAAGCACTATGGAACACGAATAGAAAGCACAACATTTTAAGCTCACAATTAATTCCCATTCATCACGTCGTATTTGTAAGCAGACCGCAATTAATTTCTCTGTTGGATGCTGTATATGAGAGATTTCCAATATAAACTAGGAAATTTTATCATATTTGGTACAAATTTCGAACTTTTTCTTACCAATATATTCAGCTGTACAACAAGATATTCCTGTATAGAAGATAATGCATCTTTGTTATTGTCAATAGGTTTAGATATAAGCAGAGAATAACAAACCGTTATTGTTTTGATGTATGTTTAAACATATTGTTAAATCCAGCTATGCTCTCTTAAGACGATATTAAAAGTTATACTAGGCACACTTTCTACACTACTAAAATAATAATATTTTGTTAATTGTCAATGTGGTATGCAATTTACAATATAGCACTAGTACTTTATTGTCAGTAATAAAGAGTTTATTATCTTGATGCCATCACTTTTATGCTGATCTAGAGTAATTAAGCAGACTTAATTGGTAGCTATAATTGATTTTCCATCGGTTGATAGATATGAATCCGGATAGATTTGGAGTACGAGTAATAAATATCCAACTGTGAGCATTTCTGTCGTTCACTTATAGATTTCCACAAGTTTCTTCAGTAATATAATGTAGTGATTTTACCTGACGTATAAACGTATCCATTAGTGGAAATAGTTAGGAAGATTTGTATATTATCGTGAAAGCTACCAAGTGTAGGAAATTTACAACATCAATAAGCCTTAAATTGCCCTTATATTTTGAGAGGGCTTCTACAAAATAAGCACATTCAGTCATACATATTAGTGATTGTGCACTAAAAGTGATCCAATCTATTAGTAGATCTTGTCAATAAGACTTGTGAATTTCACATGCAGTATATCATAAAAGAGAGCAGTAACTAGCATTAAAAAAAGCGGAAAATGCGGTGTCCATGGCACGCAACCGAGTGTAGGAAATCTATAATATTAATAAGCATTAATTTGTTGTTCCTATAATCTCTTCGTTAGTCCACCTAGACAATACAATTTATTGCTTAGGTAGACTAATACACATTTTTGGTATACTACTACTGTAAGCTAGCACATACACATATTATTATTCTGATTCCGACATAACAGGTATCAATTTTTCCGATATCTACAGCAAGAATAGGCCTTAATTTACTGTTCTTCTATAAGTAGGCTCTTTAAGTACATTGAATCAAATAGGATGTGCTAATGCAGAAGGGATTATCCATCTACCCACCCTATAATCCCCAAATTTCTATCTTAAAGGCGACGAATGTCAGTAAAAGTATGAGAAATCTACAGCATAAACGAGACTTAATTTATTGTTATTCTCTTAATTAAAGAGCATCTATATTAAGGCATGTGGCATGTTGGCTTTGCAAAGAATAGCCCATATAGGTAAAAACTTTTCGTTTACCTCTATCGAGTTATAGTCTACCTTGACCATAAGATGTCTATGTTGATATTACGTGAGAAACAGCAGCTGATGCAAGTATAAAGATATACCAAAACTGAATTTTCTATCAGATAAGCTAGGCTACCAAAGTGTGAGAGATGAATATCCTGCAACTTGCTGTTATCCTCTTTAAAAGTCTCTCTATTTTGGCATATATTATAGCGATTCTATAGATGGGTAATCTAGTTTTTAATCGACTTTGTCAATAAGATTATATTGGTATTCCACAAATAGCAAACGAACATAACCAAATTTCCTATCAGAATAGTTACGCTTTTAAGTGCAGAGAATTCGTAACGTAAGTAGCAACAATTTAAGGGTAGTAATATTTCATCAGAGCCCGGGATTAATATAGTTAGCTGACCTTTACCATATTAGTGCTCCGCCTACTTTGTTGAAGCGGTCACTAGGTCAAGATTAGAAATAATCCTGGACGTCTACAATTTCAAAGGAAATTTCTGGCTTAACCTGGCAAACAGATGGGTAGCTTTTATACCCCACACAGATCAACTAGCCGAATGGATTTCTTTTCTAAAGTTAGAATCATTCTAATCGCATACCGTAAAATGTTATATCCTGCCACCCCTTCAAAATATTGATTTGATAAATCAAGGAAAGGATTACGAGTAGCAGAGTATCATCAATGATTGCTGCTGCCTATAACTTTTTCAAACAATTGTTACTGATATTCCTTCTATTCTGGGATTACATAGCAAAATAAATAGAAGCGCTAAAAGAATGTTACGCCCAAGATCCTAAATAGTAATAGTATAGTACGAAAATAAACACTAAGATACTTTCTTCAGTAAGCTTTAATAATATAATTATGAATAATGATTATAACAAAGTAAAGCAGTTGCAGTAGTTTCTAAAATTTCCACCCATTGCTCTATACCGTATCACCATTAACTTCAGTAAGAGTTATTTTATCAGATATGTTCATGTAGATCTGGTGCTAATTTATAACTTAAAAAATGCCACACCATGAAATCAAATGAATAACTACACTTTGAGTGATAATGCATCAGAAAACGCTATACCGAGTTCTATCTCCGAAAGTCGGTAATTAACTATTTTTTAACTCAACATCTGCATAATATATCAGCCGCCCAACTCTTATAGAGTGTTTTTATAGTACTATCTAATAGATTTCCGTTTCGGCCTACATTCTCGGTAAATTGCCATGATGGAAAATATTAATAATGCAAGAAAGTAAAACACAGTAGTCGAAATAATTAGCACAAATTGAAAGATATTTATTGAAGTTAATTACGGCAATCCATTATAATAATAGGTGTACTCATATACAAGACGTATTTAGATATAATCCAGCCATATTCCTTCACAATTTAGTCACTCATAAGATCCAAGTGGAAATAATATCCATAGATTAGAAGGCTGCAACGAAGTTGAATATAAATTACAAAAGGATTAATAGCATGTTGAATTAGGCTAAAAAATCTTCGAAAGTAAATTACACCACAGCTTGTTGGAGGATTAATATATTCAATTCAGCAATTTTATACCGTATTATTTACAAAGAGTAGATCATATCAGTTCAATTAGTTTACTAGTAATATCAATATTATTAACGTTGGCATAATAAGCAATTGTATTGATAGTACAATATGTTGATTTATAATATATATTAATCACAGTGCAACATCAATAAAGCAGTCAATTAATAGAAATTATTATCATAATATTGCTTGGTATAGCCGATGGCAGTACATAGCTTCTAATTAAGAGTATTACACTTTACATCCGCAGCAAAATAGTTGATTTTAGCAGCAAAGAGGTAGCCACTTGCAATGTTGTCTAATCATTTACAGGTAGCAGTAGAAAAAATATATTCTTATTTCTAGATAATTTTTGTGTGATTTTAAAGATAGAGACGAATTTATCCATTTCTAATTTAGCTGAATTGCATAAATAATTTCAAGTTACCTAGCCTCAAATCTAACTAATGTGAGAGAGAAGAGAAATAAGATCTCGTTCAATTCAATGGAATGCCATCCTTTCGATTGTTATTATAATGAGATTTGGGCTACTATATTTTACGTCATACTTAAGAGGCAGTGTACGAGTTATTTATATCTGCACAGATTAAATAAACAAATAGTCTGGATGAAAATTGCAATGGTTACTGCTATTTTCTTGAGTTGTCCATTAAAATAGTAAACATATCATTGGGCACATTTGCAATATTAAGATTCAGTGTTATTCTTGTATAGAAAAGAAAAACTTTTCTATTAGATCATATTCTATTAAAATAAAAATGATTTGACCGTAGAATTATTCGAAATCTAATAATTAAATAGACATATATCAATTAGGATTATTTTAGGATCATTTGCTCTTTCAAGTTCATTTCATTAAGTGATCTATATCATAATTAGGCTTTAGCTTGACTATTAATAAAATCCTCTTCTTGTCCAAATCCGTTTCATTAACCTCCACAGATACCAATAGAATAGGTTTTAATTTTAGCTAGATTCTTCATCTGAGCTTGTTTCATCAAGCCAGTCAGACTGATCGGTTTTAAATGTATCACTACTACACCTTCGTGCTGAGGATACTGGTGATGGTGAGCTTAAATAGGCTTTAGTTAGGGGCCCAAGTTGATTAGCCATTGCACTGTATTCATCTTCCTCTTCATCATGGTACAAATGTCCTTGATTTCTATTAATATGAGGCAAGACCAATTTTGATAGTTGTCTATGTCGGCGTAGCCGCTCTGAATGAAACTCATTCTTGGAAGAAAAAATAAGGTTATCCCCAGTAAAGGCTACTTTTGTTTTAACCTCTGCTTGAGGAACTTTCTCATGATTTAAGGTGTTATTATTATCATTAAATGGATGATGGATATGATCTGGTTTTTGATCGTTTATGCTGCTATTATCATTGAATGAATGATGGATATTATCTGGCTTTTGACAAAGTCGTTGAAGAAGATCACTTTCAGAGTTGTGGTGTTGTGATAATAATAAACGTCTTCTGGCTAGCGGGCTGCCTTTGTAAGATAGCTTATTCGATGGTTTCTGTATTAATCTAGTATCTGATTCTAGGCGCCTTCTTGGTACAGAACTTTGATTATTGGTAGCTATGCAATGTGATTGCTTTTGGACTAAGATACCATCAGATTCTGATCGATTCCTACCAGGTGATTTCTTATACGTGTATGATAATGAATTTTCAGTGACTATTTTAGGTACTGAATTGATTTGATCATCTCGATAATCATTTTTATGAACTGTTGGTCGCAAAAGAGGCATAGAAGGATCAATTGTAGGTAGAGGTGACTGGCGTTGCATAACCGGTGAATTTGTAGCTTTTAATTTAAGCATCTGAAAACGAACCTCCTGGCGATCACGTAACATTTTCTTGGATGCTAAGCAGACTTCCTTCTCTAAACGTTGCAACTTTCTAACTAATATCTGATTTTCATTCTTATTTCTACGATTTGCGATACCAGTGGCTGCTGTTGCAACTCCATATTCGCTACATAACGAATCCATTGCTAATGAATGCCAAAAAGAGTGGATAATGGGCTTAATAAAATTAAATTTCCTTCTCAATCAATGCGTTTTGAACGTGATAGTAATGCTAAATGTCACAATTCGCTGGCCAATAATTATTAAATTGATTGATAATCAACGAAACTACATGACTTATATATTGTACCGCCTAGGGCGACTTTCATTTGAATACACATTATTACTTCCTATGCAAAATATGCCTGTAGCGAAGCAAGCTTGGAACAATATCTGCACAATGCATCCATCAAGCTATTGAAATTATATTATCAACAAACAGTATATTTGTTGACTTTCAATAAATTCAAAGTTGTTTCCAATTATATTATGGATAATATCACAAACAATATATGCTGTTATTTTACACTAAATTCACAATATCAATCTAGTCGTCGATCGGCCATCTTCCAATTTATCCATGAATGACTATCCTACTATATCACTTCATGAGATAGGAACGTAGGGTTTGTTAAGTTCAGTGGTTCTTATTTCCGTTGATATAAGAAGCAGTAAGAAATGGATTTTAGTCATTTTATGGAGTATTTTTGACACGCTTTCATCGCCATTCTATCATAACCATATCCATCTGCTAGAAGATTCTCAATGTTTTTTTCCTGTCACAACCTCGGTCATGATTTATGTCATCATCTATAAGCGAGCGAGTGGGCTATTTTTACTATCCCAATTTGATCTAACACCTAACTACTATCACGTAAATCATAAACAAATCACGTTAATATTATAGGTTGCCATAGAGAAAGCACATAAACTAATAATTTTAATAATTTCAATTTTAAATTATGATATTTCAACTTATTAATTTAACTAATGTAAGGTGTTGTAGATTTAGATCTAACCAAATAAGAATTTATCATGGTTGAATTACTAGTAAAAATCTAAATTTGTACTTAAATCATTGTTATCTATATTATTTATATGATACGAATAAAAATATACTCGCCATTGATAGCGATGAATTCAAATATTAAGCCGATGTTTACCAACTTATAATCTCTAATGTAAGACAGTCAGACATATAATTAGATTGCTTTATATTAGTATTTATTTTATTGTTCCTAAACATGATTTTCACGTCGCTGAGATTGGCTATAGAAGATGGTGTACAATGAATAGAAAGACACTACATGTACTTTATAATTATCGTTGAATTATTTACGAAAGAACTCTTTTATTGCCGTTAACTAGTCGATTCTTTTACCCTTTTCTTTATCGACAAAGCCCTGTTACTCTTATTTTAATTAACAATTTTTTGACGTCACATTATGCAAACATTCCGATCCCAATCGGGGTAAAATAGTATTATATTTTATTTCTGTCGTCCATGATGTCTTATATAAATTCAAGATTGACCGGGTTGTTGCCATCTTGACCATCAGCCCTCGCTATCAAAGCATAAACTACGAAATTATATTAGATAAAAATGTAAATTCTTCTAGTAAATACGATTTATTATTCCATTCCAATTTGAAGATTAAATTTAATCAACAGGAAATGACTAATATTGTCTTCAGGGATTATAACCAATCTAAAATTACAATGGCCAAATTAGTAGTACAACACGACCAGGACATAAAATAGCAAAGTTGTTTCCTTGCTTTTGTATAATTTGAATCATTCCAATAAATAACAACTAAAATTAGCAGCAGTATACTATTAAAGATAGTTATAAGCAAAACATCTTTCCTATTTGACGGTATTTGATTTCTAGTTTAGTTGCCCACTGCCTTTCTAGGAAATTAGTCTATAAATCAAGATACAAAGTTTATATCTTGCCTCTACATTATACTCCTTGGAATGAATTATAAACATGTTTAGAAATCTTATCATAATTAAAGGAACGTTAGCTATTATTATTCAGACAATATTTCTTCATCTTATGACTAATTATACTATAGAATGGAAAATATTATTACGATTGCACTCTCTCCTTCGGCAATTGTTGAGCCCTTTCTACTCAGCCGTATTATTATTATATAACTCTTTCGATTGGAATAGGGTGCGCCGATATTGTTGTTTTGACGTTCCCTTTCATAGAAATCACAACAAGTGTTAAATAATTGTACCAGTATTTTATTCATATTGAACATAGCTAGCTACCAACATTCTGTTTTTAATGTACTTATTGTAGCCTTATTCTAATCGGCAGAACGATTAATTAGTTCTATTACTATCTATAATGAGTTAGCGATAATCTTTTTAGCAAGGTTCTATTATAAATTGTAATCAAGTATTAATAATTGATTTACTCTTGCAAGCGATAAGAAAGGTTTGAGATACGCTGTTTATAGTTTATATCGATAATGACAAAATAGAAATAAATAGTATTTCAAATGTTATAAGGTGAATTACTCAATAATGTGATCTTGGGATAGTATAAACCAGATTAATACTGCTATTGAGATCATATGCTAGAGTAATCTCGCTTCTTGTGCATTGTATTATATATTATTTTAATCTAACGTAAGCAATCTATTGCTAACCTCATAAATCTAAATTAAGTACGGTGCCAGTCACTATAAAATAATCATAACAGATCTACTAGCTGGAATATCAGCCTAAAAAAATAGTCGTATTACGTTTTAATAACTATAGAAGAAAAGAAGTATCTTACATTTTTAAAATGGTCGGATTATCTTAATATTCATTTCAATCGAAGGAAATTTTCCATTACCTGTGACAATATCTGATAATCAAGAATTTTTGAATAATTTAAATCCCTAAGCCGTATACTTGATCAGTTATTTTAATTTCAATTAAAAAAAATATTTTACTATATCTTGTATAAGATCAGTAAGTAGAATTTAGAAATGAATTAAACTCTTAGTTTGCGTACTAATCCATTTTGATATGGAATATGAGCATTTCGAAACTTAGGCGTAGATGATATCATTTGTTTTCTAGACTAATTTAATTATCGCATCAGTAATCATCGCGGTAAACATCCTATATAAGTATCAATCTAGAAAATGGTTCCGTTATATACGGTACGGTAGCGGTATGATACCGTTGATAATCCTAGGGGCTAGATATAATTAAACCTCTAGATCGGATCTTAAATAAACTGTGTCCACGAAAATTTGTTACCCATTATTCCATAGATAATATTTTCCTAAGCCGTAGATTATTCGAGAGTTACTTTGTTATTGCCAGTAAGCCAAAAATTATTATTTATTACCCTGCTCCTTTTCCAATTTTTTATGTGAGCTAAATGGAAGATAACTGGCAAATTAGTCATTCTTTATATATTGTTTATGATTCATTCATGATGTATAGAAATCATCAATGGCTTGATGTTGTCCGAGAATACTACAAGGGCTCTTTCTTTTACTATCAGACAAAAACATTTCGTAGCATGTAAACGATCAATATACCGGCAAATTACAATTACTTACAAATTCTTACATTTTATTTGCTAATTGTATTATTACATCGCCTCGTTATTGATTAGTAGTTAGACGAAAAAAAATCAACGAGTTATACTGGCTTTACTTAAAGTGATTTACTGTTAACATTTGTTACAGTATTTATAACATAATAGACTTGCAGCATTACAACAATACTCGTTCAATTTGCTTTACATTACCCATAGATATGATCTGTATGTTCGTAGCGTTCAAATTTTAAGCGTTAAATTTGGCTGATTACTACTGTTATCGCTTCAATATTCATTAATAACTTGAAAAAGTATCATTTCTATAACATTATCATTTTTTATGCCTTTTATAATTTAAGGATCAAGGATATCTAATCTTGTAGCTTCATTATTATGAGTATGGATATATAGAAACAAGCAAATGCGTTATACTGTGAAAATCTTAGGGCAGTATTGCTAATAAATATGATATAAACCATTGATGAGCCTATAGTTTGGCCAACTTATTACAATAAAATTGTATATTCTGATCATTTTCAAATATATTTACAGCTCTGCAGAATTCGTAAATTTTGGACATTGTTGATAAATCTTAGTGTGGAGTTCCTAATAAATATAGCATAGACGATTGATGTGTCTATAGTTTGGCCAACTTATTACAATTATCATGTATAACATGGACATTTTAAAACAAATAAAATAATAGCACCAGCAACTTTACGACTATATTATAGATATTTGGAATCGATTTGAGGCATTTCAGTAGCCTGATGCTAATCAATATTATTTCTCTTTCCTCTCAGAATGTTTAACCAGTATACGAATATCAAAGTTTGAATGCATTCAAATTGTCTATTCAAGAAAAATCAACACCATTATTGCAATAAAGAACTTTTACGTAAGAATTACTTGTATTACTGCTAGCATTAATTGCGTCCATTACAATTCAACATTTCAGTTTGCTCTATTTATATTTGTAGTGAACGAGTGGCATCCATCATAACTAGCATAATTATTATGTAATAAATTAATAAATTAATCATTTAAGTATTACCTATGATTACTTGTGCCAACTAATGCGCACAACATTCATTTGATAATGCAATTAAGGTATATGATCATATGCATTTGAATTACAAATGTAAAATAAGGGTAATATTTTTATTTGTGTGTTTGTCATTTACTAAACTATTTCCGTTATTGCTAATTGCTTATCAAATCTACTTCATTTTTAGTAAACTCATTGATTCTAGAGTAATATCGAACTGAATGAGCATGAACGGCGTTAAATGAACTAAAATTATGATAACATCTATGAATCTTAATGTAACTAAAAAGTATTACATAAGACTTTTAGGCGATTGCTATGTTAATAGCGGAATTAATTGTGTTCATTATATTCATAAACATCCCGATCTTCTCAGCTGATATTGTACTGTTGATAAACAAATGACATCTTTTAAAAATGATGCAATTGCTAATAAACAAATTCTTTTGATTTGATAAGTATAACCTGCAGCAGTTATTAAATTATTATATAGTTCACATGCAGCAGTATATGGTTACAGATCAGGCAATGAATAGATATAACTATATGCTATTTACTCGAATTACATAGTACAATGAAGTTATTATTGAATAACTTATTTATAATTTAGCTGAAACATCATTTTCATTACCACCATTTGCATAATTGACTTATATTTGCTCTTGGGATATCTACGTAATGTAACCTGCTATTGAACAGTAATTGCTTGTATTATAGATTACTATTAAACCGTAATGCGTGTAAACATTCAAATCAAAATATCAATTATGATTATGAGTCTGAATTCAGTCAAGATTACTGAAATAAGAGACATTTGGTGAAAATTTCGAGAATACTATTGCTAATATTAGCTAAGTTTGCAACTACGTAAGCATTTCGGTCTAATATACTTGCCAATAACCAAATACTGTCCTTCAAATACCGTACAATTGTTAATAATTTATTTTTCCCAATTTGGTGTAAATAATTGGTAACAATTAATATGTCTTAATTATAGCATATTAAATCAATACGTTATCTATAGACGTACTCGTAGGGGCTATATAGGTGAATTATAATTAAGTTATTGTTAAATTTATTTATTTACTATTTAGCTAAAGTTCTGTTACTGCTAAGTGCATAATTGCTTTATTTTACTTATAGTATATGCTGTATAATTGAATCAAAATCACGTTATTGTTTAAAATTTTATTTACTATTTGGCTAGATTTTTGTTACAGCTAATTGCACAATTACTTTATTTTACCTCTAGTAAACCTACGTATTTCTGGGCTGCTATTTAATTGAAGATCGTATAATCATTCTAGTAGAGAATGTAGATTACTATCATACCGTCAAGAATCTAAATACAATTAGCATTAGTTATAATGAGTTTTTATATGGGAATGTTATTGCTACTAGAACCGTAGAAGCTCGTTAGATATAGGCCTCACTCGTCTCTACATATGTATGTTTCTAATCGACTAACTGCACTCTCTAAAAAGTTCGCAATGATTAATAGGTAATTTGTAATAATTCCTATCTATATACTGAACTTTTAGCTTGACTTATTTCTACTTCTAGCCAATCTATATTTTACGGCTTGCAGTATACCCAAATTCCGGCTATTATCCATAATAATCGGCTTTAGTCCGAATTAGGGCAAACATAGTGCTATGGTTAAAGAGCGACTATTTAGTAAACAGAAAGAAAATAAACTATCTTTAGTCCTTCGGCATCTTACTTAAGACTTTAGTAAAGCAATAAATTCTATTAATATGATTATCGTTATACTTAAAGCGCCGGCATAGCCGGCTAAAGCCCGAAGTTCTAATATTTTTGCTCTTTAGTTCGGATAATAGCCGGGATCAGGTTTTAGCTGGGTCATATACTTCTACGTAAACTATGAACTGCAATATATGTAAATATTCTAATAAATCTAGCAACTTACTGTAACTTACTGTAACTTCATCACAATTCTCAATCTGATCCATATTACTGTTAAAGGCACTTTAGCGCGAATACCACTGTATGTTACTTCAGGGAAAGTACTAGCTGCTCGGCCTGGATATATATAGCAGGTATCCTAACGAATAGTTTAGACCTACGTCATTGGAATAATACTAGCGATTGGTAGACGATAGCTGGTAAGAGCGCACGCTCGTTAGTATGCTGAATCACTGCCCATACTGATTACTCTAAGTTAGCGGTTGCTATGGTGATGAATCCACATCATCATGGTAACAGTATACTTGTTGTGATATCTAGGATATACAGTATGACATAGTTGCCTATATAAAATTACTTCTATAGATTCCTCAGATAGTATTTCATATCGAAGCTAAGAGTGTCTGCCTAAATTTTCAAAGAAAGTACCATAATAATTCGATGTACTAAAAGTCAGCCAGTATGGTGAAATTAACCACTGATTTAATTTTAAAGAATACGGGACAAATTAGACGTCAACGTGATGAAAGCTTGCAACATTTTACGCGACGTATAACACATGCCTATTGCAATGAGAAAAACATAGACGAAATTGTAAGTTTTAGGTTATAAAAAATGTCAAATGGTTGGTCATAATTATGTTGAACCTAGATCAGAAACACTGCAAATCCGTATGATTTAGCTGTCCGTACGAATATAGGATCGTCATTTACGATGGTGATACATCTATAGTATTAACAGACGGTAGCATTCTACGTATACCTACGATACAGTTATTTAGGATTAAATAAAATAAATTAGGTGTATACTTCTTCAAAAGTACTCGTATGAAGGAAACCGATCAAATTATAAGTTTTGGATTATGACAAATGTCCAATGGTTGGTCATAATTATGTTAAAACAGGATCAAAAGCACACCATAAATCTGTATAATTTAACTGTCTATGCGGATACGCCATCGCCATTTATGATTAGGATATTGTTATAGTATTAACCTGAGATATCACTACATATACCTACGATACAGTTATTTACGGTTAAATGCAGTAAATTAGGCGTATGCTACTTTAAAAGCACTCGTATGTAGAATACTTCTAATTAGCTTGACTTTATTTCTAATATCATTTAATTCATCGATTGCGTAACTCTCTTTCAAGTCCCAGATCCCTATAAGACGCTATTAAATATAATATTTTGCAGTCCTTGTGAATATAAGATGAAGATCACATTATTTCTTATTAACATTTGTGCTTCAATCAATCTCATTTTGATTATAGGAAAATATTGCTGCCTGTAGAAATTTATCAGTCTTATACCTTTACGATAATCATATCAAGAACTGTAATAAGCTGATTAATCTCTTCAACTTAACTCATCTATACTTGCAAAATAATAACATTACGAAATTGCCCAGCTTACATTCTTTAAAGAAGCTAACGAAAATGTAAGTTTATTGTACTTTATCTTAAAATATACGAAAATAACATTTAGCGAAACTATATAATGGACTTATATTAGATGAGCGAATAAATAAGTACTGTATGATATAAAGATTGAATAACAATATCATCTATTCAATCACAGTTAGTTATTTGCGTTTTAAAGCAGATCATTATAGGCATAGCATGTAACAAATCGATATAAGTCATTATCAAAACCTCTATTGAAGTACTGTATTATAATACCAGTATTTCATGTAGATAAAATTCTTGATTATCATGAAAGTGATGTTAATCATTTTAATTTCTTGCAGCTATCTTGGTGGAAATGAAATTGCGGTACTAGAAGGCTTAGAGAAACTTCCAAACGTAATTGAATTGCGTATTGAAAATCAACGCCTACCACCAGGCGAAAAACTCTTATTTGATCCAAGATCCCTAGCAACAATACGTGTAAGCATTCAATATAAACTACTCGGTGGACTTGACCTTCAATATTTCCTATATCAGTCAGCCAATATTAAATCCAAGTGAATGCAATACGCGTACGTTTACAACAAAATAACCACATTCACTTGTTTAAATTTACATAGAGATCAGTGCAAGTCTTGGATATATCAGGAAATGGTTTAGACAATTTAGCAGATTTTTATGGCTTTGAAAATTTAATCTATTTCACTGCTAAAAATAATACCATCAGTAATTTTGAGACTTTAAAAAGAACATTTAGTTCCTGGTTTTCGACAACAACAATCGACCTAACCGGTAATCCTATCTGTGAAAAGTCAAGATATAGAGATCAAATGCTAGTTATTTGTCCAAGTAGTGTTGGTAAGTGATTATCTCAGTAATTATTCTACCACTCAATGTTATATTTAAGTAATTTAGTAGTATATTTGTGCATAAGTTTCCATTATCATTCTTAAAGAAGCAAAAATGTAGCTACAAGTATTAAATCATAATTCTAATTTATTTCTTTAGGAATCATTGATGGTAAAGAAGTAAATCAGACTGCGCGTGAATTCTTAACCAAAATGCAACTAAAAAAAAACCGCAGCAACAGCAATAAAACTTCTAAAAAGAAAAAGCCAACTCAACCGCACCAGCAAAATTTTGCCTTAATATCATCAGAATATTTAAATAGTGCAGTACCTGTTCCAGTAACTAACATCAAATTAGCCAGGGCTGCAGCATTTAGGCAAGCTGATATGATTTCAAAGGTATCGGCTATGAATTCTTATCAGGTACCGGATTTAAATCCTGGTAAAGCATTAATTAATAGAGAAACGTATCGTAGTAATGGGTTTCAGAAGAAGGAGATGAAGAACTTGTTCAGTTCTCAATCGCCATCTAAGCAATTACTCATGATGTCTGCAGGTGGTGTTGATCCTTATAGTACGTACTAAATTGTTACGATCAAGATTTTTCACTCTAAGTTCCTATATTGTACCACTGCCCATGGCATCTTATTAACGCTATCTGATAGCAAAGGTTAACATATTGTATCAATTCTAATCTTATTACCAATCATTCGATTTTTGTCTGAACCATATGACTATATGGTATAGATAGGTATAAAATACAATTGGGAAAGATGCTAATATTATTCTAAGAATTATAACTTGGCATTAAGTTACCCTTATGCAAGAATATGTATAGTAATATTATTCTCGTTAAACGAACTTGTTGAAAATTAATTACAATATGTGCTTTCAACTCCATTGAACTTTAAATCATAATATCTTATCTCTAAAACCTAATTCTATCATTGTTTATGATGATAGTTGTAAGTAATAAAGATAATTGTACGGAGATTTTATATCGTGCAAAAAGAGCATATTTAAATTTACTATAAGTTAATCAACATCATTCCAAAATAAAATGAACCTTTAAAGAATTTGACTTATTGCTGTTCGATCTCTGTATAGTGAATATCTTAATTGCGATGGGGTAAGTTGTTAGATAAACTACCAGTGAATAATCGTAGGTGATATCATGAAACGAATTCTATATGCCAAAAGGTGTAGTAGCATTGCGGTTATCATTAATACCCGCATACTCTAATGTTTTATTCCTTCATTGTGTCAAAAAAGCTTGACTTAAGCAATATTGCTGAATGATATTTTTAGAAAGAGCTTTAATCGGTTACGAAAATGACAAGGTACGTCCTAAATGTATAGCTACTACTAAGAATAAAATAGCAATCCAATGTCATAAGTATTTTTGTACGGAAATGATTTCAAGGAAATTTTTAGCAGTACAACCATAGCGGTAAAAAGAAAAAGCCTTTACCTCTATGGGTATAATATTATTGCAGTCGTGGATACTATTAGGAAAAGAATCATTATCCGTTAAATATATACTTCTATTTATAGAATAAAACATTACGTTATTTATATTTTAAGCAATTCATTTGAATTCTTATCGATGTCAAGCATTTCCTTATTACTTGGATGTAAATTAGATGGTAAGAACATTTACTTATAACGAATTTTTCAATTAAACTAAGATTACTCTAGTTTCAATCATAAGCAGTGATAGGCAATACGATTTGATTTAAACTTGGCACTTAAATTTTAAGTCAATTTTCAATCCTTAAAGTAACGGAGAAGTTTTGTCTTGAACAGAGTATTTTATCACTTTTATTAGCCTATTGATTTAACAGACTATGTAATAATATACTGTGACCTTTGCTGAAGTTGAAACATCCATTGAATAGAATAAATGGAATATAGTTGGCAATAGCTACAACATGTATGCATACTCGTGTTGTTTAAGAATAGCTAATCGGACATATTATACAAGTGTCTAGGTTTAGAGTATCAAATGTATAAAGGTCTATCAGTAAATTATATGATTAATTCTTGTAAAAGAAATTAATCCGTCATAGTAAATCGCGTCCTGCATAAATAATAGCAGTGGACTAAGGCAAATTAGTCTCATCGTAATTAGATTCTGCCATCGAACTAAAATTTTCAAGCGCATTATGTAAAAATTCAAATGTTGGTCGATCTTCGGGCTCGTATTTCCAACAAGTAAGCATTAATGTATACAATGCTTCTGGACAACAATTAGGTCTATCCATTCTTTCGCCTCGTTGTATATAATCAATCACTTGTTTATGGCTAAAGTTAGCATATGGTGTTTTACCTTTCGTTATTACTTCAAATAACAGTACTCCAAACGACCAAACATCCGATTTAATTGAACAACGGTTATAAAGGATAGCTTCTAATGCAGTCCATCGAATTGGAATTTTAGTTTCTTCTTTAGTACTGTAGATATCTTCATCCACTAAACGTGCCAAACCAAAATCTGCTACTTTACATACATTATGTTTATTGACTAAAATATTACGAGCAGCCAAATCACGATGGATATAATTCTTTTTCTCTAAGTACTCCATACCAGAAGCTACTTGTGCTGCCATGTTAATTAAGGACTCTTCGGTCAATGCATGTCCATCTTTTGTGTTAAGGAAGCTTAATAAGTTACCATTTTCCATTAACTCTGTAATGATTAGTATAGGCTCGCCATCAGAGCAGACGGCCAATAATTGGATAAGATGATCATGGCGTAGCTTTTTCATCACTGCTGCCTCACGTAAAAAAGCAGTCCTTTTCATTGCACCCACTTTCATTTGTTTGACTGCAACATCCGTAGTACCATTCCATTTACCAGACCAAACTTCACCGAAGTTGCCAGCCCCTAATTTTTTAGTTAACTTGATAGAATTTCGCGGTACTTCCCAAATATCCGGCTCAGACGTCTGGGGAGTAGCATCTAACTCTATGATATGATCCGAGGCTTGCTCCAGCGTTGAATTAACCGCTCGCAGACAAGGATTTCCTAATCGACAGTATAATCCATTCGCACCTCGTTGATAGAATTCAACTAATTCAATCAGCGTCTTAAACTGCAATTGCAAACTGATATAATAACCACCAAAATCGAATTTACGAATACGATAATGTTTGATAACATTACCAGCGCGGATAGATAAGGCGTATTGATTTGGTTGGTTTTCACAAGGGCGAATTAAGAAGCCTCCACGTTTAACATCGCATTGCATTAAACGAATTTCGGCAGTATTGCGTTTCATTTCAGGAAAGAACCAACTGAAATTAATAAATTGCAAGTTATACTTTCATCGTCAGTAATGCAAGATTCGTAATCATTTGCTGCATGATTATATTGATGATTAAGAGGAAGAGATAAAAAATAGTCTAGTCAATAAGATGAACGAAAGGTATGGTATTTACGAAATATCGATTAAGAGCAATAGAAAAATTAATGTTTTGCAATGCAAATTAGTGATACGTGAGGATAGACAGTTGATCTATCAATTAGAATTATTGGATACTATCGCAAAGAGATTTAGGGTAAAAATAACTGAGCCCATAGGCGTGTGCGTATGTTGGTATAAGGATGTATGATTCTTAATAAAAGTAAATAAGAGAGGGATAGCCAGTTCATAGTCCATTAGAACGAAACTAGCTCTACCACAAGATTGAATGGAAAGTCTATATAAAAGAATTCATACTTATGATATAAATAAAGACAGTTGTTCATATCCTATTGAACATGACGAAATCATTTTAGTCAAGCAAATGCTTTTCCTCGAATTGTATCATTTCTGCTGTAACAGTGAAGTTATCAGTCTATCCAAAAATCAGTAGCGAAATTTTCTTCATGAGAGATGAAAATATCCTAGATTTTCCTTTGAGCTATAGCAAAAGTACAGGATGTTACTGCGAAATAGTTGTCTTTTGTTTAGAGAATTTCTCTACTGAGTGATTCCATATATGCATATTATGTCTTTAGGTTATATTGCATGTTCTAAAAAGGATCGACGATTTCTAATGTTATTTCAATATCATCATTTTCTACCTTGCTAAACTTTCGAAGTATAATGTATTCGGCAAGAATACTAATTTAAGTATTGGTCAGTGAATAGCTTAAGCCATAAAATTAATAGCTATCTAATTAACTTAAGGGATAAATCATTTATTCAAAGAGTGGATAGTATAGCTAGTTTTTGGACGATTTTTATTTCTATAGTATGTGTAGCTACAGGATCAAGAGATAATTCAGGATTTACCCAACAACAATGTACAGTAGATACGTATGCACAATTTGCTTACTGTTATAGTTTCCAGACGCTGATAGTTTTAATCTAACCGTAACAATCACTAAGAAGTAGAAATTCATCCCCTGCAAAACTATTTTGCTACGAATCATTTAGAAAGATAATTGCATGATAACCTTCGTATACTTCATTCATGGATAAAAGTCATTACATTCATTGCGCCCACCCTATGCTAAATACTCCTGACGTGAGAATTATAAAACATCTTCTACTTTATCATCGAATTTAATACCGATACTACAGTTGATATCTTCATCTTATTGACTCGAATGAACACATTAAAATGGCAAAGTGATATTATTAGAAGTGGTTAAAGATGCAAAACTGAGGTAGAATAAATTATCCGATGGAAAAGTGAGTGGATAGTTTACTATATATCTAAAAATAGCACAGTTAACTTACAGATTTGCTAGATCGTTTCGAGAAGATTGAACGTAGTTAAATGGTATATATCCTTCATGTTTAGTATGTAACGATCGAGCTTTCCACCATTGGCCATCGCTTTCTAAAATCTCAAGTGGCTCGCCTTTTTGAAAGCTTAAATCTTGCGGGGATAATGCTTTATAATCATACAAACCAACAAAGACGTTATAAATATCCGATGATAATGAGGATAGCATAGTTCGCTGCATAGACGCTGCTACTTTTGCATCCTCAACTGATGCCGAGCGCAACCTCTTTAGCGAAATC